CTGAGTCTTGAGTGCTGAGTCTTGAGTGCTGAGTCTTGAGTGCTGAGTCTTGAGTGCTGAGTCTTGAGTGCTGAGTCTTGAGTGCTGAGTCTTGAGTGCTGAGTCTTGAGTGCTGAGTCTTGAGTGCTGAGTCTTGAGTGCTGAGTCTTGAGTGCTGAGTCTTGAGTGCTGAGTCTTGAGTGCTGAGTCTTGAGTGCTGAGTCTTGAGTGCTGAGTCTTGAGTGCTGAGTCTTGAGTGCTGGGTCTCGAGTGCTGGGTCTCGAGTGCTGGGTCTCGAGTGCTGGGTCTCGAGTGCTGGGTCTCGAGTGCTGGGTCTCGAGTGCTGGGTCTCGAGTGCTGGGTCTCGAGTGCTGGGTCTCGAGTGCTGGGTCTCGAGTGCTGGGTCTCGAGTGCTGGGTCTCGAGTGCTGGGTCTCGAGTGCTGGGTCTCGAGTGCTGGGTCTCGAGTGCTGGGTCTCGAGTGCTGGGTCTCGAGTGCTGGGTCTCGAGTGCTGGGTCTCGAGTGCTGGGTCTCGAGTGCTGGGTCTCGAGTGCTGGGTCTCGAGTGCTGGGTCTCGAGTGCTGGGTCTCGAGTGCTGGGTCTCGAGTGCTGGGTCTCGAGTGCTGGGTCTCGAGTGCTGGGTCTCGAGTGCTGGGTCTCGAGTGCTGGGTCTCGAGTGCTGGGTCTCGAGTGCTGGGTCTCGAGTGCTGGGTCTCGAGTGCTGGGTCTCGAGTGCTGGGTCTCGAGTGCTGGGTCTCGAGTGCTGGGTCTCGAGTGCTGGGTCTCGAGTGCTGGGTCTCGAGTGCTGGGTCTCGAGTGCTGGGTCTCGAGTGCTGGGTCTCGAGTGCTGGGTCTCGAGTGCTGGGTCTCGAGTGCTGGGTCTCGAGTGCTGGGTCTCGAGTGCTGGGTCTCGAGTGCTGGGTCTCGAGTGCTGGGTCTCGAGTGCTGGGTCTCGAGTGCTGGGTCATTTATACATGAGCTATAGTAAAGTGTAGTTTATTCCTGTGATCAATTTCCAGCATCATTACTCCAGTTTTCAGTGTCACATGATCCTTCAGAAATCAAGTTTAAAGTTTAATTACTTTATAAAGCACATTTAAAAACAGCCACAAGACTGACCAAAGTGCGTTACAAAACATCTAAATATACACACTTAAGATAATACACACAAATATAATATAATATACACATTTAAGAAAGGAAAAAAAAAATCATTCTAAAATGCTGATTTGATGCACAAGAAACATTGCAATTACTAAACATTTTCAGTATTTAATTAACATTAGATGTGTTAAAATAATCAAATATTATTAATGATAAATTATATTGTTAATTATATTTTGCATGAGGAATATTTTTAGGTTCCTAAATAATTTTGAGAAATTTTTCAATTATCAATGTTGAAAACATTCAAATATCATTCAAAAGGCCGATTGAAATATCCAGATATTCTCGTGTGTGTTTTGAAACGTGACTTCATTTGTTGGTGTTGTTTTCGGCAGGTTCCTCGAGCTTGACCTGAAGAAAAGTCTGCAGGAAAACCTGATGCATAAGACTATCGTGGAATACCCAGAAGTCTTTGTGGTTCTGAAACGGCACAGTCAGGAGTTCCTCGCTCACACACCGGGTACGAAACACACAACACACTCGTACTGCACACATATGCACATGGAGTGTATCATACATCACAAGCAGAAAGCATGCGTTATTCATCCATTCCATATTAAATGCATTATTTATTATTTTGCATATGGAATTTTCTTAGGTTTTTAAATAATTTTGAGCAATAATTTTTTACATTTAAGTACTTTGCTGATAAAAGTTTATTGATATGTTTTACTTCATTCATTCTATGTTAGATGTATTAAAAATAACATGATCAATTATAAATGGCATTATTATAATATTTTCCACAAGAAACTTTAAGTTTTTAAATAATTAAGGAATAATTTGCTTGGCAATTAAGCATATTTAGCCTCATTCTTATTTTACTATAATATTTACTTAATATTTTATTAGTAATAGCATATAGAACATTTTTAGGTTTCTTTCATTACAACTTTTGCATATTTATAGAGCATTATTTACCTCTTATTTCACTTTTTTGTTAAGTTTAAAACTTTAAATAATTCCAGCAATTACTAAAATAATCATAATGATAAATTATATTACTAATTATAATGACGTTCTGTTATCAATTATATTTTTTTTGCATTTTTATAGAGCATTATTTACCCATTATTGATTTTTTTTAAAGATAATACTTTAATTTTAGCGATTACTAAAAATGTTCGGTATTTTTTAACATTAGATGTGTTAAAAGAATCATATATTATTCATGATAAATTATAGTATTCATTATATTTTGCATGAGGAACATTTTTAGGTTTCTAAATAATTTTGAGAAGAATTTCATACTTTTTTGCATACTTATACAGCATTATTTACATCTTATTTTTCTTTTTTAAGGATAATACTTTACATAATTTTAGGACTTACTATATACATTTTCACTATTTAATGAATTTTAGATGCGTTAAAATAATATATTATTAATGATAAATTATATTTTACATGAGGAAAATATTTTAGATTTCTAAATAGAGAAATCTTTCTTTTTTTTTTTTTGCATATTCATACAGCATTATTTACCCCTTATTTTACTTTTTAAGTTTAATACTTTAAATAATTTCAGCAATTACTACACATTTTCAGTATTTAATTAATATTAGATGTTAAATTAATCATATTATTAATGATAAATTATATTATTAATTATCGTAAGTATGTATGCAGAACATTTTTACATTTGTAAATAATTTTGAGAATTTTTTTTCATGATAATTAAACATTTCTCTCCCTTTTCTTATTTTACTTTTAAACATTTACTGAAAATGTTGTGTAGTTATTAATATTCTCAGTGATCTGATAAAAGTCACTCACTACTATAATATTTTATTTAACTTTTTAGTATACAGGTGAAACTTGAAAAATTAGAATATTGTGAAAAGGTTTTCATAAGCTGTAAGCCATAATCATCAAAATTATAACAAATAAAGGCTTGAAATATCTCACTTTGCATGTAATTAGTCTATATAATATATTAGTTTCACCTTTTAAGTTGAATTACTGAAATAAATGAACTTTTGCACGATATTCTAATTTAATTATCATAAAAAGCGTAGTTCCTGCATCTGTGAGATAACCCTCATTCGTTGTCTTACTGACTCTCCCTGAAACACTCTCTTCATGTGTTACTGTTCAATGTGTTGCGTGACTCGTTCATCAGCAAGCCTCTGATAAAGACGAATGAAGGGCTGTTGATGTGGTATAGATTCTCAATAACCTCGGCTTGATTTGTTTATAGTGTTTGCGAGTTATCTCACCATAAAGATGTTTATGGAGTCACACACACACACTTACACAACACACTTGTATGCAGAACATGTGTGCTACTTGCCGTTGCGTAACTCAAGTGTTCCTGAAAAGGTCGAGGGAGAAAGAAAAAGTGCTTGGCGAGTTATAAATATTATAAAATATTATTCTTCTCACCCCATTGGCAGATAATTCTACTAGTTTTAAGCATCAGCTCACTTAATTTTGATTTATTTATTTTTTCTTAGAAAACAAGACTTAATATCTTATGTTATTTTACTACTTTAGTAAATGCATCTTGATTTAAGAAATGTTTGATATTTGGACTGGAAACAAGATAAAAATAGCATTTTTTGTCGTGTGCTATTATGCAGCAAGCAAACGTCTAACATGCACTTTTTTCCTCTCGTTCCAGAGCGTTCCAGTGCGAGTGTCTCCAGTTCCCCGGATAAACCGCGTTCAGAAGTCTCCAAGAGGCCGAAAGTCGTGCCAGAAGACGAAGAGCTGGAGGACGGAGAGCTTCGAAGTGACCAGGAGGAAGACAACACTGAAGATGACGAGGGTAATCTTCCTGAAACTGAGAGTAAAGTGCCTGTAACACATCATGAAGATGATGAGGGTGACGAGGAAGAGCTTCACAGCAGTGTTCTGGAGGCTAAAACCAACCATGAAATGATGAAGGTTTCTGGTGATGATGATGATGGTCAGGACTGCACTGATGAAGACAATAAGTCTTCCGTTTCACAAAACCTCCCTGGACTTCCTGACGAAAACATAAATGGTGATGGTGTTGCTCAGCATGAGACTGACGAAAGTCCGAGTTCATCATGCGATTGTTCTGATGCAAGCAAAACTGAAGGCCAGGAAAACACGCATAATGCAAGTAACATTTATTCCAATGAAAGTCACATTTGTGCAGATGTTACACTAGTGTAGGCGCCGAAAACACTCATGCTAACTGCTTAGTTACTCAGTATTTTTGTCTTGTTTCCAGTCCAAATATATAAAAATTCTTAAATCAAGATGCATTTACTAAATGAGTAAAATTATTAGATATTATGTCCTGTTTTCCGGGGGAATTAATCAAAATTAAGTGAGTTGATGCTTAAAAAAAAGCAAAATTATCTGCCAATGGAGTGAGAAATATAATATTGTTTCTGTTTGAATTTAGATTATTTTTCTCACCCCATTGGCAGATAATTTTGCTTGTTTTAAGCATCAACTCACTTAATTTTGATTAATTCCCCCGGAAAACAGGACATAATATCTTATAATTTTACTCATTTAGTAAATGCATCTTGATTTAAGAATTTTTACATATTTGGACTGGACACAAGACAAAAATACTGAGTAAGAAAAGCATTTTTGAAGTGTTTATACCAGTGAGGGTCACAAACGATCCTGATAACCGGACCGTAGTTGATAAGGCTTCAGAAATGACACCAGATTAAGATAACAGCTGGGACTGTTGCTGAGGCAATGGACTGTTTTGACGACTGATGTTTTTAAGCGCTGATATCTTATATATTTTAAACGCTGATCACACGTCATTGTGTTCATAGAGACGGACAAACACATAAGCGTATCTAATAAAGCTCACGCTTTTGCAGAACTCGTGAAATGCTGTACGTTCTGTTGTCAACCTCAGGAAATAATGTTAAAGTTGTAGTTAAAATTATTTGTTTTTGTCTTGATTTATGTGAATATCAATTTTACACAACAAAATTTGTTAGCCTGCATTCTTATTTTGTGCCTTAGAATTGCATCAGAAAACGTAACTGCGATTCACAGGATTGATACGCTTCAGATATACACGCATTTTTTATTTCATGTTTGTTTTCCGACATGCTTTTTTTGGCAAACTGTGTAATTATGTAGAAGTATTTTTATGGCAAATGCCTCTTTAATAAACTTCTGCATCTGTTTGTGAATGTTGCCAGTTTGGAGTCTTTTTTGTTAATGATGCACATTTAGGGGTCGTTTACACGACACCGTTTTTAACTAAAAAGAGAAAACTTTAATGCGTTTTCATCGTTCATTTACACACCAACAGCGTTTTGAGGGCCTGAAAATGAACATTTTTGAAAACTGCCAGTTTTAAAGCGATACCGTTGTCGTCTCGGTGTAAACCAGTGTTATTTTTTCAGCAGGAAACTAACATTCACTTTTTTTTTTTATTATTATTTCCTGCAAATGGAAGGTCAATGGCATTGTGGGATAGTTTTACTGCACATTTTATCATATGTAGTAGGTTATCCAGAATTTCCATGCACATACTGTGCACAAATTCATGTGATTTGTTTATGAAATTTGAGGACACAGATTAACTTTTTTGATAAAATATTATTTGTAATTTGTTTCTATTGCATTACGTCATTGCGTTTTTTTCTACTCACTAAAATACTCTACAGTTAGATGTTATTTTATTATTATTTTAATCATGTTTTTGTTTTATTTGTTTATTATTTAAATCAAAATCTATTTCTTCTAATCATATGTATGTGTGTGTGTGTGTGTGTGTATATATATATATATATATATATATATAATTTAGTTCAATCTTTTTTTTAACTTTTATTTATTTACTTTTTTATTAGAATAAGAGTCAATTTTCTCTAAACATTTCCACGGACCCTAGTTTCAAAAATGCTGTTCTGAATATACAAATTTTTTTTTTTGCACATTGCATCAATACGTCTAACTAATAGATATCATCATATACTTTCCCAGTTGATTGATTAGTTTAAGAATTGCAAACATTTTTTTGTTTTCTGAGATGTTATGTTGAAATATGCAACTGAGGCATTATCTATTTAAATATGAACATTGGATAAAGCTTTATACATAATTCTTGTTTTATTTTGTTTACATATTACAGTTAAAGGTTTTTACTGATGGGATTTTGGATTTCTCTTTTTCTCACTGCATAACTCAGAAAATACTGTCAAAAAATACATTTTCACCATTTTTAGGAATAAATTGTTGTATAAAACCAGGCGAATTATATATGAACAAACCCCTCAGTAAAAACCTTCAGAATATAGACAGGAATAAAACTGTAAATTTTGGTGTATATAACTGCTGCAGAAGTGGAGGAAAAAACTCTTTTATAAACATACAGCCTTTAAAGTTATGTATAGTAATTGAAATCTACATACGCAAATAGGAAAGTTCAATAAACGCAACACTTAAGTGTATTTATTGCTAGTTTAAAAGGCCAAATAGCCCAAAATCTCACAGTTAAATGATGCATGAGAAATAGTTTTTTTGCCTGTAGTGTCTCGCCTTGAGAAAATCACACAATCGGACGGAGAAATTTAGTATCAGTGTGCATCTCTATTTTTAGTTTTATTCTCCAAGAGGAATTGATCATATGATGAAAATACAAAAGTGTCTGAAATATAAGAGGAATTGATGATGGCAGCTAAAAAAGGAAATGATTTTTTTCCCCGTATGAATAACGTGCACTGATGAATCCTTTAAAATAAGACCAAAACATGAATTAAGAAAGTAAGTAGTGTCTTTTTAGACTTCAGGTTGACTGTAATGTGTTTATTGGTGTATTTGAGGGCATGAGCCGGTGATGTTTCTATCTATGGACTCCAGAACAATGTGTGTTTCCACCGGATGTGTGTTTTTAGAGCGATGAGAGTGTGTTCTGCCCATCACGGGTGAGATTAAGCTGTTTTACGCTGAAACGATCACCACAAACTGCTGTGATGAGTGCATCATCACGCCCGAACGAGCGTTATCGAGGACAGAACAGACAGAGAAACCCACAGTAAAACAGGCAGGCCTGATAGATTGAGCTGTTAGATCTGGTTTAGATGAACCACACCATCAGTCTCAGACAGGCCAAGCTTTGTTTTCTAGTACATTGGGTCCTGAAAGCATTAATTCGGCCCAGAGATATTCTGTTGTCTCAGTGTAAACTCGTATCTCTGTGACCGTTTGTTTGCCAGCAGAATGATACAAGAATCCCAAACAAACATGAACAGATTGTTTGAAGGTCTTGTGGAAACATGAGAAGTCTATGTGATTTTTGTTTAAATATTTCAACTTGTAATTCAGTTTCTCAAATATGTGGTTTGGGCTTTGTGACGTATGTAATTGCTAGGGATTGCACCGATATGAACATTTTGGCCGATAACCGATAATTCGTTATATTTGAAAGCCGATATTGGCCGATAAATCTAAATCCAAATTTGTATATACTTTTTCAGAGCCTGATTACAAAAACAAAAGTTTCACCATTAAAAGCCATGTGCCAAAACACAATTATAATGTTCTCATTATAATTTTAGGAAGCCGATATCACAGCACATAACTGTATTTTCCTTATTTGAAGTGATTCCTATCATATTTCAAGCAATTTAAAGCCATCATGTTGAGCAGTGCGCATCTGAAGAGTCTCAGCTGAAGGAAATAATACATTATTCATCGGCTTCAATATATTGGACACATTTTCTTATCAGGCCGATAATGATAACATTTAAAATGAGCATACATCGGCCGATACCGATATGTTGCCCGATATATCGTGCATCCCTAGTAGTTGCATTTGCTGACTCCCATTGTTTTAGAAAATCAGATGCATGCTGGGAATGTCTTTAGAAAAGTCTTATTAGTGGTCTTTGTTCAACTGTCAGTATTACTGTACTTGATTTCAAGTGTTATTATACTTGTGTAGCTGTTAGGCCAGATGTTTCGGTTGCATAAGTTACTCTAAAAGTCATTGTTTGCGCTGGAGATCATCGTTCTTGGACTCGTCTGTTGTTTAATAATAATAAGCGTGTGTTCTTGCCCAATATGAACATGATCTGTGCAGCTGCTGCCCTTCATATAAAGCACATATTGTCTGTTTGTTTTGACCTACTGCAAAAAAAAAAATTCTTGATTTGATATTTGGACTGAAAACAAGACCAAAATACTGACATTTCTTAAATCAAGATGCATTTACTAAAGTAGTAAAATTACATAAGATATTAAGTCCTGTTTTCTGGGGAAATAAATACAAATTAAGTGAGTTGATGTTTAAAAAAAAGCTAAATTATCTGCCGATGGGGTGAGAAAAATAATGTTTCTGTTTGAATTAAGATTATTTTTCTCTTTTTTTAAGCATCAACTCAATTCATTTTGATTAATTCCCCCGGAAAACATGACATAATATCTAATGTGTTTTTACCCATCTAGTAAATAGAATTTTTACATATTTGGACTGGAAACAAGACAAAAAGCATTTTTTGCGGTTCTCGACCTGGCTCTCGAACCCTTTTCCACGGACAGCAGCACTAACGCTTCATTTCCCCATCAAAGAGCGCTTTGTTTGAGCTTTGTCTCCGCTGACGCCTTCTCTGGAGCGCAGGCTAATTTTCGTTAAGTTCATCATTAACGCTTATGTAACGCTGTCTGCGGCATGCCGTCATTGCTTACATCCAGCGCCTGTGTGAGATGAGGTGTGTGTCAAGGCTAGTTAAGCGCTCTAATAGTGACTATTCCCCAAACTCTCTCTTTGGCAGCGTGTCTCACACACCCGTTTAGTCTCACTCGAGCTATTCATCATCGTACACAAACTCTCTCCAGCATGTTCTCAAGACACATGGATATGCAATTTTCCAAATGTGTGAGATGTTCTTTTACTTTTAGTGATCAGATGCACCATTTTGACCCCAAAAATGAACATTTTGTTATTTTTACATCCTTGCACTCTGAAAAATAAAGGTTTTTTTATGGGAATCGATGGTTCCACTAATAACCTTTAACATCCATGGAACTTTTCCATTGCATAAAATGTTCTTTGTAGTGAAAAAGGTTCTTAAGATTGAAATATTCTTTGCACTAGTTCTTTTAAGAACTTTTTTTAACCAAAAGGTTCACTCAAACTGGTGGTTCTATATGGCTCTACTGTGTAAACCCACTTTTGGAACTTTTATTTTTTAGTGTTTGTTGATCAAAACCTTTGAAGCCGTGCCATGAAAGTCAATGTGCTCCAAAGTTGTTGGACCTCAAATGTCTTTGGGTTCGCAGAAGAAAGGCACACAGGTACAGGAACCACATAATTAGTAAATAATGACAGAATTTAAATTTTTGGCTGGACTGGTCCTTTAAAACAATAACAAGAGATAAAAATGACGGTTCTTTATTGGCATCGATGGTTCCATGAAGAACCTTTAACATCCATGGAACTTTTCCATTGCACAAAAGGTTCTTTATATTGGAAAATGGTTCTTAAGATTGAAATATTTTTTTGCACCAAAATGTTATTTGGGAAATTCAGTCTGTTGGTTCTATGGGTTTGCTGCGAAAACGTGTATGTTGATCAAAACCATGCAATGAAAGTCAATGAGCTCCAAAGTTGTTGGACCTCAACGTTCTTCAAAATTTCTTGCATACAGAAATGCATAGAACCACATGATTAGTAAATAATGTGTCGAATTTTCATTTTTGGCTGGACTGTCCCTTTAAAACATTCGCCAGCTCTGTATTTGGCCACTAGGGGTCATCAGTGAAATGACGGACAGGTAAAACCCCAATGAGGGACACCTTTGAAGAGGACAGGAGACTTAAGCGTTGAAAAGATTATGCATTTTAACCTCTTCTGAATGGACCATAAAATCTGGTTTGGCTCATAAAGTGCATGCAAGTTTGTCAAAGCTGTTTCATAAATAAAAGATTGCATAACAAATGACTCCATCCATGATGCCAAGTGGAAAACCATTAAAATGACTGTTTTCATTCCATTTGACTTCATCACCGCCAGCTTTGTTATCAGTCTTATTTGTTTTTGTCATTTTAGTCCTTTTTTTAGTTGTCTGCATCGTCATATCTCAAGGAAACGTCTGGAGCTCTGTCCTACTCAGATAAAAACAGCTTAAAGGCCTCCATGGTGTGATATAACCATCCGTTTGTGTTCCCGATGTCCGTTGGGATGTCATAAAACCCAGCTTGCTCTAATACAGGATCTCTGTTCTTTCAGAAGTGGCATATTTTTAGAAGAAAGGCCCAAACTGAACAAGCTGCTTCCAAATATTTTCCAACATCTGCCGACCATCTGCATTCCTCAGCTGGATTTCCTTCACCTGGATCAAACCTCACTGGAAATATATCACTCCAGATGATATGAGGTTAAGAGACGCACTGCAAAAAAAATGCTTTTCTTGTTTCCAAAAGCATTGTTTGCAGTGCAGGGAAGATGGACAGATGCCCTTCAGATCTGGCCTACATAATGCATGATTACGGCGTTATAAAAGTCTCAGATCGAAGATAAGATCGATATTCATTAAACCCATGTGCGATGTCTAAACAACAAGTGCATGAATGGCTTGTTGAGGAGTTATATAAAGCATTAAGACCGCCTCTTCCATGTGATGTTTTAGTCCTGAAAGCTCCTGTAAACACAGACTGGAGCTCCGTTTGGAAAAGCACTCAAGATTCTGGGCGTAGCTCCATGTTTTCTGCTATTGCTGGGTCTCTTAATTGTTTTCTTGAAGGAACTAAATGAACGAGAGTCTCAGGTTTTATTGTAGGAAGCAAGTAGAGTCTCACAGTTCCCCAAAAGCATTCCATTCAACAGAGATAAAGAGAGAGAGGGAAAGTGTGGTTATATAACCATCCCTTCATTCAATCAAAGATTGTCTCTCAATTCACGCATGTTTCAACATCTTTCCATGAGCATTCAAGGACTCGACTCGAGGTGTTCAGTTCATAAATAAATCTTTTATTTGTAACATATAAAATTAGATCATTTTACACTTTATTCCAGTATGACAATGTTCAAATAAAAGAGCTACATTTGAGATAAATAATATTAATAACAACAATAAAACATTCATTCAACCTTTTTTTGATCGTGTCGTGGAGTTGGATTCCATTAGCTGCCAAACACTGAGGATGCGTTCACCCACGTCAGGAGGGAGTGTTACTGCGGACAAACTCAACCTTCGCCAGGTTCATAGTCTACCAGTTGTACGTTTTAGCATGTGCATATCTACAATTGGGAATACACACACACACACACACACACAAGTCTACAGTTTTGGTTCTTGTTTTGTATTTAGACCTCAAGATATACATCAGGAATTGTAATATTTACATCTTTTACAGGTTGCTCCGTAACGAAGCTATAAAACGTAGCGCTCCAGTGTGAAGCGAGTCTTTTCCAAAAACGCTGCACTGCAAAAAATGCTTTTCTTACTTAGTATTTTTTCTTGTTTCCAGTCCAAATATCAAAAAAAACCTTCAATCAAGATGCATTTCCTAGATGAGTAAAATGACATAAGATATTATGTCGCGTTTTCCAGGGGAATTAATCAAAATTAAGTGAGTTGATGCTTAAAATAAGCAAAATTATCTGCCAATGGAGTGAGAAAAATAATGTTGTTTCTGTTTAAATTAAGATTATTTTTCTCACCCCATTGGCAGATAATTTTGCTTTTTTGAAGCATCAACTCACTTAAGTTGTATTTCCCCATAAAACAAGACTTAATATCTTATGTCATTTTACTACTTTAGTAAATGCACCTTGGACTGGAAACAAGACAAAAATACTGAGTAAGAAAAGCATTTTTTGCCGTGTGACGCGGCCTCAGCAAACAGTGCACTTCAAAGTCCCCGTAATGTAAATCCGTAATTCCGTGGGAATCTAGTTACATCAGGAGTCGATTGGCCGGCGGACACGTCTCCCCCCCTTTCGGGTCGCGCTCGTGACGGTTCCCGGGGTGGGGATTCCCTCCCGCTCAGTCTCTGAACTTGTGGATGTCGTTGAAGAGTCTGTAAAAGGGGTAGGACGCGTCGTTGCCTTGGGCGCAGTTATAGGTGCACTTGCAGGACTCGATCATCATGACGTTCTTGTTGAAGGTCTCGCCGTCGTCGCAGCGAAACTTGACTCGGATGGTTCGGGTTTGCTGTGGGCTACAACACCGGCCGTCCACACACGAGCCACAGTATCTGGGCCGATACTTCTTCAGACTGGAGCATCCGGCGTAAGAGAACTTCACCGGCTGCATCGACTTCTTGGTCCGGTTGCATTTCTTCCCCTTCTGTTGGAGGACGCAAGGATTAGTCACCTTCATTTATACAGCGCTTTAAACAATATAGACTGTTTCAAAGCAGCTTTACAGTCATAACAGGACATTTAGGTAACAGAGATTGCTTGGGCTTTACAGCAGCTCTAGAATAAAGTTATTGTCCAGCTAAAGTTCGTTTTGATTGATTCACTTCCGTTGCAAAGTCAGATTAGTCAATAGGGCTGGGACAATAAATCGATGCATCTCTCTCGAATCGATTCCGAGATTTTCCGAATGCGTCGCGATTCTCTCTCTTTGCATCGCGATTCTGAGCTTAGTTTTTAAGTTCTTTGGAAACATCCGTACTCTGCTTGCTTCCAATGCCTTACTTACACACACCACTTGAACCTTCTATAAAATAATCATTCATAAAGTTTGAAACGGTTGAAGGGAATTACTAGGGTGTTTGCAGTTATCTTGCGTCATTAAAGCATTCTGAGGTGCGAGTACATTAGCATTATTTGAGCATGCGGTTAAAAACTAGCCTAGAGCGCCATCTAGGCTAAGCTCAGAATCGATTCGAGAGAGAATGGCGATGCATTCGGAAAATATTGGACTCGATCCATGAATCGATGTATTGTCCCAGCCCTACGATGCCATGTGTTTGTGTTGTTGAAGGGACGCTGCTTACCTTAAGGCTGGTGTATGGTGATTGGCTGCATGGACGGACTTCACAGATCCTGGTTTCCTTCACCAGTTTGCAGTCGGCGTTGTCGTTGGTTATTCTGGTGGAGACTCCCGTGCCGCAGGTCTTGGAGCATTGGGACCAGGGTGTGGTCTGAACTATGCACTTCTGGGATTCCCGCTGAGATCGGAATGCTGCGAATAAACAAAGTGCTGTTTAAAACTCGATTCGCACGCACATCGCTAACGCCAATCCAATGCATCCGTTTTGTAACAAATCCTTCCCAAGCCCTAAAATTACACTTCTTTTTTTTGTCCAGAAAGCTTATTTTATTTAATTTTGATCATATTTTTTAATGCAATTTTTCCCCCCAAAAATAACTCACAATTTTCATGCATAACCCTTTTAATTCAGCTCTAAATATCTTACATTGGGAGTCTTTGCCGACCTCATGTGGAAAATAAATAATAACATGATATTTCATGACTCTAGATGGGCTTATAGCTCTATATGGAGCAGAGGAGCTGTTCCGCTGGGCCCTAAAGCCAGTTCCCTTCAGAATGCATTCAGATACACATATAGACATTTTAAAACTATTTTTTGGAAAAGTTTTAGCATGTTTAGTTTAAATTTAGAGCATTTGTAGGTTTTTCTATGTGTACTGAAGCATTCCTCGCATTCCTATATGGGGGTCAACTTGACCCGATTTGTTACTTTTTAAAATTTCAAACACAAAACTCCTTGAATCCATTACTTTGTGTGTGTGTGTATTTGTGGTTCAAATGCGAGAAAAGTCATAGGGTCTTGGACCCCTCCGATGAATACTAAATTAAAAAAAAAAAAATCCGGGTCACAATGACCCGAGGGAAGGATGAGTGTTAAAGATCTTACCAGGTAAAGATTTGAGTCCCGGCTTCACGTTGGAGATGAGCTCGTTCTTGTTGGTGAGGTCACTCTCGGAGTCGTCAACCATTGGATCGTTGCCAAACTTGTCGGTGGATTCCCGATGCTTCCCGTCGTCGCAGACCCACTCCTCGCAGCATTGCCCCGGCACTTTGACCAGCCTGGGATTGGCGCATCCCAACGTGGGAAGGGAAAGCTCTTGCGGGCAAAGCGGGATACATCCCACCGCCCCGTCAATGCAAGTGCACTGGTGTTTGCAGTTAGGCTGGAAACTCTCTCCGTTCTGGTAGATCCTGCTGTTGTACTCACATGGTCTTCCCTCAGATTTGGCTGTGAGAGAAAACGAAAGGTATATTTTAAATCTAATGCTCACATTCCACATGCAAAACTCCCCCCTCCCATCCACACATGCTTTCCATTCAGTGTCTTTTACCAAGCATAATGAGAAACATACCTCGGCAGATGCCTCTGGTGGCCCCGTGGCTCGCCCCGAAGTTGCACTCGAGACCCTTGGTGTGGTCGCACGGCTCGGTCTTGCTGCAGTCTTCGTTCAGTTGTCTGGCACACACTTTACAACAACCACAGCCATCCGAGACCAGACTGACTCCAGGAGCGCACTTGGGAAGCTCCTGTGGGCATGAACATGCTGGGCAGCTGGAGAAACCCTGAGCGGAAAAAACAGGACACTTTAGTGACTTTCAAGTCAATAACCATAAAACCCACTGATGAAAAAAACTAAAAACGTGTAGATGTGTCCTTTCAATGTCTATGGTGTAAAAAGTGATCAGTTGACTTAACTTAATAATTTTAAGGCAAGGGTTTCCTCAATTGTTTTTAAGTAAATAAACTTCATACTTAATCGAAAAAATCAACTAGTGTGGCATTATCAAGTTCATATAACTTAATTTTTTCAAGTAAGCATTACGTTTATTTACTTAATAATTTTAAGGCAATGGGTTTCCTAATTTTTTTAAGTAAATAAACTTCATGCTTAATCGAAAAAAATAAGTAATGTGTAACTGTCAAGTTCATATAACTTATTTTTTTCAAGTGAGCTTTAAGTTTATTTCACAATTTTAAGGCAAAGGGTTTACTAAAAAAAAAATGTAAGTAAGTTACCTGAACACTTTTTACAGTGAGTTTGTGAAACTCAAAACTGATTCTCCAATGAATGGGTTAACACTCATTTGGATATCATACAACTTCTATAATCAGCAAACAAACGAGTAGAATGAAAGTAACTCACCACATTAAAGTGCCCAATAAGGATGACGATAACAGCCCAAGCAAACATCTTCGCTTCTCTGTGTACTGAAAAGTGGTGTATGAAACGAACAGTTAAAGTCCTCGCTCGTGTAAGGTCGCGGTGCGCTGACTCGTCGCGTCGCGTCGCGTTCTCGGTTAGTTCTCGTGCGTCTGAAGGCGTTCGCGCTCTGAGGGTGAAGACGCGCGCGACTCCTCTTTTATACACCAGTGGAGCCTGACGTCACCATCGCTGAACTGTTCCGAAGGAATGCGAGGAATGTTTCTTGGCGCGTTTTCCATCCGAGCTAAGCACCACCCTGTCTAACTTTCTTCTTTTTTTCCTCTCTCACTTAAATGAATTTTCCCCTCTCACTGAACACATTTTTTACTGTTTCCCCCTTCTCTCTCTCTCTCACTTTCTCTGCTCTTCACGCTTCCTTTTTGGGTTTGCGTAAAGTTAATGCCTAAAGACTTGAAACCATATATTATTTATCTAAATAAAGCGTTCTGATAGCATACTCAAATGTGTAAAGAAGCTTTTTGTTTAGCATTTTAAGGAGACAGACAGCTGTAGTTCTGTGGGTTTATTAAGTGTGCGAATTATTCCGTTAATTTGTAAAGGAATTTTATTTATATTGAGATTCAAAATTTATTTTTGCTGCCCCTAGCTAACCATTATAATGGTTAACTCATTAAGTAAATAATTTAACTCATTCTCCTATTAAAGCAACGTGTGTGGTAACTTAATGTTTTGAAAAACGACTTTTTTTGGGTGTGTGCGTGTGTTTGGAGGGTTAATTTTAAGTATTATTTCACCAGCATCATCTTACTAACCTCCTTTATTTTGGCTAACGTCATGTAAAAGTTATTAGCCTTATTACTCGGCATAGAAATATTTCGTCGCCCCCAGGGGTCTATTAATGGCGGTACGCGCGCGCGTCAACCATAAATTAATGCACGGCACGCGCGCGCGTTCCCTTGTTCAGATCAGCTACGCGCTTTGGGGAATTGTATCAATCTTCAAACACCCATTTTAGAAATACAAACGCTTAAAAACTCATCTGTGCCATCATGCACCCTATTCTGCGCGCGTTTCAGACGATCTAAACTCAAACTTTACGGCTTCTATTTTTGGCTCTGCTCGCTCCTCTCTCTTGACTCAACAGCTCGAAGTGGTTCCAGATGTGGAGCCTGATTCCAGACGTAACAATATTACCATATTTGGTCTGGGCAGTAGCTTGCATTATTAACATTTCTGCTGGAGTTATCCAACCACAAAGCATTCCTGACAGCTTAAAGGGTCCCTACATATGCTCTCCGTGGAGGAAATTCCTCCAGATAATTTAATATGCATGCAGTCTGTCCATCACAAAGTGAAAGAAAAAGTGCAACAGGCATCCAGTTTTCCACATAAGATGTTAAAATAAAAAAAGAAAAGTGCACTGTTTTTCTCTGAGATTCCAAATAAGTGGCATTCCACCGAAAATCAGAGATTAGAAGTTCTTGGATGCACAAACCAAAGCGAGTGTGAGAGCAAGGGAATGCACAATATAGCATTGAATAGCTCTTTCCACAGGCTCTCGGAGAGCAGAAGTGTGTGGACACTGAGACGTCCTGATGGAGAACGCTTGGCACCTGGAATCAGATTCTTCTCATATCTCAGGTATGGTTCACTTTAACGTCTTCATGGGCTGTGTGTGTGTAGCCAGTGTTCTTTACACTGGGTTGCATATGTGTGTTGTTTTCTCCTGATCAGTCAGGCTTCTGTATGAATGCATCTGATCTGTTCTTTGAGATCGAAATCCCTGTGGTTAAACTGGTTTTAGTTGATTTTTCCCACATTGCGACACTAGATGGTGATGTGCTGTGTCATTGTAGTAAAGATGATCTGTGAGAGTGTTTGACACAATCGTATGTTCTGGTTACCAGTGTTGGGGAAAGTTACTTTGAAAATTAATGCGTTACTCCCTTTAAAAGTAACTAATTGCGTTACGTAGTTAGTTTTTAAGAAAAGTCATGCGTTACATTACTTTTGCGTTACTTTTTCTCACCTGGGCTGAGCATTTAATAACAAAAAGTGCTATTTTTGGCCAAATGTAGACCCTTTCACACCAAAATTGAAATTATTAATCCTCAGGCTCAACGAAGTGCAAAATCACGAATCCAATGCAAATTTCACCAATAAAAACAGAGTATAAATATAAATTTAAAAAAAAGAAATATATATATATAGAGAGAGAGTACATTGGCCAATAAAGTGAGATTAAATGCATAAAAATATTTGTTTTGTTTAACATATTTAATTATTGGAGGTTTGCATAGTGTGATTTTGCATTTGACTGATTTTATTCATTTTGAGGAATATTGAATCATTTTTTGTGCAAGTGAGATGAGGAAATGCACGCTCACATTTAGTCTAGAACTACAGTAAACATCATGTTTACACACACACACACACACACACACACGACGCCTCTGCACTTACAATTTTATTCTCAACATGAAGACAAGAGAGCTGTCAATTTGCTATACTTATTTTAAAAAGTAACTGAGATTTTTTGTTGTAAATTTTAAAGGTAATGCGTTGCAAAAGTTATTGATTACATAACTTGTAAAGTTATGTTACATTACATTACTTGTAATGCGTTTCCCCAGCACTGCTGGTTACCATGACTGGGTAAAATCACATTTATAACATTTGAATTGAGCAAAATAGTTGATACCTCTGCTGGAAACTCCAGTTTTAGAACATGATAGCACTTTTATTAGAACTTGAATTGGCTTTAGACCATCTTGGACCAGAACCACCCCATCTGAAGCTGGTCAAGCTGTTTTGTATGAAACATGGTGTTATGTTTTATTTTTTAATGACCAGCCAGAAACTATAGTCACCGTGTTTCAAACACTGTTACCAGCCCAACAGTTGACGCATGTGGCCTGGGAAGTGTGCAGAGCGTATTTGTTGAGGAGCATGTCCATTTCTGAGCCAATCACCTGAGCTGGAAATGCTGGAAAATGACATCATGGTAATGCTGATTGGCTTTTACTATTGACTATTACGTGAATGCTTTTAAATGGCTCTCAGTGATGAAAGATGCTCTTTATAGTCGAATGGCTTTAAAAACCCAAACCGCTTGGTTTACCAGCATCAGAAATTAGTTTAAACTATCGGTTTTATCACTATTGTTTATCATTTGAAACCAAACTTCTTTGTTTGATACGCCACTTGCTAAAAGGTAATAAAAGGTCAGCTGCTTCTCTGATTTGTTTTTGATTTGTGTGATTTTAGGTGTTCAAATACTTTTTAAGGCCACTGTATGTCAGGTGATATAAGTTATCATTTTCCCAATATGGATCTAGGTGGTTACTAGGCGTTGCTAGTATGTTCTGGGTGGTTACTAGGCGCTGCTAGTATGTTCTGGGTGGTTACTAGGCGCTGCTAATATGTTCTGGGTGGTTACTAGGCGCTGCTAGTATGTTCTGGGTGGTTTCTAGGCGTTGCTAGTATGTTCTGGGTGGTTACTAGGCGTTGCTAGTATGTTCTGGGTGTTTACTAGGCGTTGCTAGTATGTTCTGGGTGGTTACTAGGCGCTGCTAGTATGTTCTGGGTGGTTACGGTTACTAGGCGTTGCTAGTATGTTCTGGGTGGTTACTAGGCGCTGCTAGTATGTTCTGGGTGGTTACTAGGCGCTGCTAGTATGTTCTGGGTGGTTACTAGGCGTTGCTAGTATGTTATGGGTGGTTACTAGGCGCTGCTAGTATGTTCTGGGTGGTTACTAGGCGTTGCTAGTATGTTCTGGGTGGTTACTAGGCGCTGCTAGTATGTTCTGGGTGGTTACTAGGCGTTGCTAGTATGTTCTGGGTGGTTACTAGGCACTGCTAGTATGTTCTGGGTGTTTACTAGGCGTTGCTAGTATGTTCTGGGTGGTTACTAGTTGTTGCATGTTGCTATGGTGTTCTGAGTGGTTACTAGGCATTGCTAGTATGTTCTGGGTGGTTACTAGGTGTTGCTAGGGTGTTCTGGGAGGTTACTAGTTGTTGCGTGTTGCTATGGTGTTCTGAGTGGTTACTAGGTGTTGCTAGGGCGTTCTGGGTGGTTATTAGGTGTTGCTAGGGCGTTCTGAGTGGGTTACTAGGCGTTGCTAGGATGTTCTGGTTGGTTACTAGGTGTTGCTAGGGCGTTCTGAGTGGTTACTAGGTGTTGCTAGGATGTTCTGGGTGGTTACTAGTTGTTGTGGTTGCTAGGATGTTCTGGGTGGTTACTAGGCATTGCTAGGGTGTTCTGGGTAGTTACTAGGTTTTGCTAGGGTGTTCTAAGTAGGTTACTAGGCATTGATAAGATGTACTGGGTGGTTACTAGACATTGCTGGGAAGTTTTGAATGTCTAATAGGCGTTGCTATGATGTTCTGGGTGGTTACTAGGCGTTGCTATGATGTTCTGGGTGGTTACTAGGTGTTGTTAGGGCATTCTGAGTGGTTACTAGGTATTGCTAGGGTGTTCTGGGTGGTTACTAGTTGTTGCGTGTTGCTATGGTGTTCTGAGTGTTTACTAGGCATTGCTAGGATGTTTTGGGTGGTTACTAGGTGTTGCTAAGGAATTCTGAGTGGTTACTAGGTGTTTCTATGATGTTCCGGTGGTTACTAGGTGTTACTAGGTGGTGTAAGACTGTGAAAATAACTGTTATGATGCTTGAATGTTCTGGGAAATTACTAGGCTGTTGCCAGGCTGTTGCTAAGGGCTTACTTTTTGGTGCTACTGTACGTCAAGTGATACAAGTTGCTATTTTGTCACTACGTTGTGTTTCCTCTCAGTGTTCGAGGTCAAATGAAGTGTCCAGTGAGAACGTGAGCTCATGAAGGGTTGACATCTGTTCGGGCGCGGGGCTTTTAGGAAACAGTGCTGTCATTGTGTTCTCATTTTTCTATTCTGGAATTACACATCCAGGAACCATTACAAGAGCGTTTTTCATTTGTGTCCGCCGCCATGTTGTAATGGCAAACATAATATTTTCCACTTTCTTCCAGGGCTCTTGGAAGTGCGATTGATTACGAACACATGACTCAGTGGCTCAGACCCATCCATATTTCTACATTACGTAACGCGTTATGTTTATTTTACCTCCGGTGTGGAAGTTCTCTCGGATCAGAGAGATGTTATCCAGGTTTTCGGCCCTTGTTTGCTCTGTGGCTTT